TAAAATAACACGGAATTGAGGTCCAAATAAGGTAAATAATAGGTCTAGCAATCAAGTAGTAGTCAGAACACAAAAATCGGGCCAGCAGCAAGGATAGTTAGTCACATAAATAAGTTAAATAGGTAAATTAGAGACAGTCTAGGGGTTGGTAAAACAATCAATTCCCATAAATTAAGCTTAGTGGAATAATTAAGGCAAGTAGTGCCAATTAGAAGTCACAAATAATAAAAAATAGGTAAAAATTACAGAGAAGTATCAATCTCGGCAAAAAAAATATAATTTGAACCCTAATAAAATCAATCCATTTCTTCTAATTGACAAGGATGCAAATAACGGGCAAATGTTGAAATAATCAATGAAATAAGCAGAAACCCTAAGTTTTAGAACATGGGCATGAAAAATCAGTCGAACCAGTGAAGAAAATAAGACTTAAACACTTAGAAACTTTAAAATCTTTTTGCAGAGAACTTAAAGATGAAACCCTAGTTTTAGAAAAACAGTAAAATCGGTTAATAATAAGGAGGAAACAGAAGGTTTGAGGAAAAAATACCAGATAAACTTAAAATCATTTAAGATCTACAAGGATCTGAACAAACTCGGGTAGAGAGAGATGAGGGTTTTTGAAAAAAGGAACGAGGTGAGAGAAATCCAGTTAAGGACGGAGTTTCAAACCATAATCATAAAGGTACCGATGCTCACAACCATAACGATGAACGCAAGGCAGGAAGAAACGAAGAGTTTAGGTCGATTCTAAGTTGAACCTCTTTGAGATTCCTTCAAAATACGGAGAAATCGAACAACCGGCAGAGGTAGGAGGTCGGATAAGGCGGTAAATCACCCAATGATTCCATATCCTTTGGAATCGAAGGGATTTGGAGGCAATTTGAGTGACGGCGCATCTAGGGTTTGAGAGCGTCTGAGAGAGAAGAGAGAAGATAGGGATTTAGGGGCGGCGGTTTGTGTAAAATGAGGTAGGGTTTGGGGGTTTGGTATATTAAAAAAGGAAAGAGAGTCTTGGACCGTTGATCTTTTGAGATCAACGGCCAAGATTGATTCCGGGCTGAGGCGAGTTATTTGGAGATTGGGTCATGGGTCACATCTAAGTGGGCTAGGGTAGATTGGGCTAAGGTTTAATTGGGCTGGGGTCTGAAATTGATTAAGGAAAAGGGGCTATTATTTAAATACCCAATTAACTTAATAAAATTTTTTTATAAAATAATCTATAAAATGATAAAAATATCATTTATGCATGAAAATGATTTAGAATAATTACTTAGTATTATAAAAATATAAAAGATTATTTTCTTGTGAAATAAGGTATTTATGCACACATGGGGCCATTATTGCAAAGTTATTGTAATTATAACCCTAACATGTATATATGGCTGTTTATGAAATAATTAAAGCTTAATATAAATATAAATGATAAAATTAAGCAATAAAATTATCATAAAACCGTTTGTAATGCAAGTAGTAATTATTTATATAATAAAATACTAGAATGAATTAGTTAAAATCCTTTTAAAATTACAGGAAAATTATGAAAAAATGCTGGTTGATGCTCATGCACTATTTTGAAAGTATATATGCATTTTAAAAATATATGAGGAAAAAATTGGGTATCAACAGACTTAACCTCATTACATAAAGTAATAATCATTTGTCGACGCCATAGGGGACTTTATCTCATAAACCTTGATTTAGCCCTGGATTATGTTCCTACACTAATCAGTGTAATTCCATGTTAACGAATCCAATATTCAAATCAATCTCGATGGTCTCTACTAATAGCTCCCAAAATATTTAATATTCCAAAAATATATTCCTAACTTAGTAGCCTTAAAGGACCTACTTTTATCAAATTCCGATATTAATAATCGATCCAACCATTTGAACAAAAATCAAATGAAATCCTTTCACATTTCATGTTAAAGTGATTAACAAAATGAGATTTCAATCCTTAAATATTTAGTAAGTGCTATTTCAATATGTAAAGGTTTCGAAAAAAATGTTACACTTCACATTTTATAAAAATCACAACAATAGAACTCAAACATTTTATTCCTTTACCAAGAACATAAGTTTTTAATAAAACTTATAACTTTTGTCTCAAGTTTCATTTCCCAAGTTTGAAAATAAAAATTTTAATGAATAATATGAAACTTTATATATAACACAACTTAAAATACATGGTCACATCCTTACTCAGTTGTCCCCACAAAGCACAAACGTATATTAACAAATAACGCACATGTAGACTCAAATCATGCTTTACAGAAAATTCTCCAAGAAGAATAAAACTAATAAACTTATTTCAAGTCCAAGCTCCAAAATAATATTACGATGCTCTAAAATTAACAAAATGCTCCAACGAGGCCAATGATCACAATCTACGTATACGAGCTCATATAAATCAATAATGCGTCACAACAATTCCAACTAAGTCAACTAAGTATATAACACTTAGGTCCAACTTCACAAGTTTAGCAAAAATTCATATTTTACCATTCGAAGGTCAGTTCTTAAGTTTTAGCTCCAATTCATCCGCTAAACGTGTAATGAAATCAAGTCGTTCCATTAGAAACTCAAAACGATATTGTTCAAGCATCAAACCCAATACCATTCATCTTCTCTACCAACAAACTATCCAATTTCAAAATTGATTTTTCAAGATTCATGAATCGATATTTAAATATAACTTTTCTTAATAAATATATTCTACTATGCATGTGGAGTATAATATACAAGATTAGGATGAAAGGATTACCTCTTTGTCAAACGTTAAAATTTTTAAGAGTTGTTGACTGAGTCCCTCGCGCCGTTTGGACATAAGAATTTTTTTTACTTTTTTTTTAAATCAATGTTTGGCCATAAAATTTTCAATTTTCACTTGAAGATGAATTTTAGAATTTTCAAAAATTTTTAAAACTCCAAAAAACTGTTTTTCAAAATTTTCACTCAATCAATCACAAAAGTTCAAAAACAACCCAAAAGTATATTCATGTCCAAACACAAATCTAATTTTCAAATACCATTTCCGCTTGAAAAAAATTTCACTTTTGTTTTTTGAAATTTTACAATTCTTGTGTCCAAATGCCCACTAAGGGTGTGTTTGGTATGAAGGAAAATATTTTCCGGAAAATATTTTTTAATTTTCACATGTTTGGTTGGCTTAAATATTTTAAAAAAAATATTTTCCTCATCAACTCATTTTCCTTCAATTGGAGGAAAATGTTTCCCCTATCAAGAGAAGGGAAAATATTTTCCAAAACCCTTTTTCAACCTTCCCGCCATATTCCCCATCCCCACCAACCCACCCCCACCCACACGCCATCCTACCCCACCCCCACTCTCGCCCCCTACCCTCATCCTAAATAAAAATATTATTAATAGTACTTTCTTTTCATGTTATAGATAGATTTTTTTTTTTCATTTCAACAATTAAATATTTTCTTATCATGATATAAAAAAGTATTTTTTTTTATTTTAACAAAAAAAGTACTCTCTTTTCATGATGTAGAAAAAGTATTTTCTTTAATTTCGACAAAAAGTATTTTCTTTTCATGATGTAGAATTTTTTTTTTTCATTTCAACAAATGAGTATTTTCTTTTCATGATATAAGAAAATATATTTTTCATTTTAACAAAAAAAAGTACTTTCTTTTCATGATGTATAAAAAGTATTTTCTTTCATTTCAACAAAAAAGTATTTTCTTTTCATGTTGTAGAAAAAATATATTTTTCATTTCAACAAAATGATTACTTTTTTTTTATGTTGTAGAAAGAGTACTTTCTTTTTCAACCAAAAAAGCGTATTTTCTTTATAGTTACGGAGCATAAAATTCGACGTTTTGCGTGAAAAAGTAAAGCAACACATTATTTCCTTTGGGTTTGTGTGAACTTTTAGAAGAATAATTAAATTATTGAAGAAAATAGAGTCCTGAAAACGTTGGGTATCTCGAGATATGGTTATACAACAGGTTATGGTACAAGGTGACTTACTTGCAAAGTTAGGAACAATGCAGAACATGGATGGCTCCTTCTCTATTAAAAAGATGTACCTACACCTGATACCCCAGCACCCCAAAGTCCCTTGGAAAAGTCTTGCACTGCAGCAAAACATCCATCCACAAGTGAAATTTATCCTATGGTTAGCAATGCAAAACAGGCTGGCAACAGTGGATCGACTACAAATGATAGGCATACAAGCTCCTATGGCTTGTGTATTCTGTCATGGTAGCATTGAAACTCATGCACATCTCTTCTTTGAATGCCATGTTACAGGTGCATTGTGGCTGAGATTACTGACCTGGCTTGGGCATATCAGGAATAGAGGTGATGCTAAACATGAATTGCAATGGGTATGTATGGCCAAGAGGAAGAATGGATTGGGAGCTATCATCAGCTGGGCATATGCAATGACAGTCTATGTGATATGGAGGGAAAGGAATCTTCTAAGGTTCGAGAAGAGCACCTATGATGAAGATAGAGTCAGTAGAGAAATAACATTACATATTCACATTAGAGGACCAAATCTTAGGAAATGGCGCAAGCCTTTGAGTCTACTGAGTTTATACCCTTAGTGAGATAGCTAAACATTATCTTGATTTCCTATTGTTAGTATAGCTAAGCTAGGGACTGTCAGATGTACTTAGGAGTGCAAGAGGTCGGCTTTTGCCTGGAGTCTGTAAATGATATTTTTTTTGGTTAATAAAAATTGCTATTTACCAAAAAAAAAAAGTTGGGAATTTGGGGGAGGGGGGAAGAGCAAGGAAACATGGAGATTTGGGGGAAGGGGGTGAGGGGAGTAGCATAAATAAATATTTTCTTAAAAAAATATTTTCTACTCTCTAACCAAACACTAGAAAATATTTTTCAAAAATTTTTTTCGCTCACCAACCAAACAAGGGGAAATAAGTGATAAAATCACTCATTTTCCATGAAAAATATTTTCCTTGATACCAAACACACCCTAAATATACTGTTCTTTTCATACTTCCCTCGAAAAAAGAAAAAGGGAAAAATTGGGAAATAGGTGCGGAGAAGAACATTTTCGAATAAACAACGTCGTTAAACCTAATTCCTAATTTCACTTCCCTCCTCAAAACCCTAATATCGTAAAATCAAATTCATCCCGACGACAAATGGCGATCGCCAGAACCGGAGTTTTCGTCGATGATTACTTGGAATGTAAGTTTCCGATTTCGAATTAATCCTTTTTTTCTGCTTTACTTTTGGTTCAATTTAAAGTTGAAAGGCTTGAATTTTACGTCACTAATTAAGAAAATTTTGTGTTAAAAAACAGATTCAAGCACATTGCCTGCTGAGCTTCAGCGGCTTCTTAACACCATTAGAGAACTCGACGAGCGTTCTCAAGGTATTCCATTTCTGAGAAATTAACTCATACATACTCACAGTGAAAAAAAAAACACGCAATCATTATATTTAATCTGTTATAGCAGGTCAGTTGATTATTGTTGTTGAAGAATTAACCTAAATAGTCGCTCACTATACTGCTAAACTTAAAATATCCTATGGATGTATGATATATGTATAATTCATGTGTAATATGTTTATAAACATGTATAATCAGTGTATAATCTACGTATATCGGCTAGGAAAACTAAACGGTGAATCAGGACAGCTATTTGTGTAAAGATCCCCCTTTATTTCCTGGTTGTCAACTTGTAATTATAGACATTTACTTCTAATCAGAGTAGTCAAAAGAGGAAAGCACAAAACAGTGCCAAAGGTTGTTGGAGCTTTAAGTGCATAGCTCAATTAAATGATGGGCTTTAGCGAAGGAACGCCAATGAAGAAAAATAAAAAAAGAGAAACGTAACTATGAACAGAAACAATATTTATTTGCACAAAAGAATGGAAAAGCTATACTTTAAAACCATATATATCATGTTGTGTCCTTAAAGAACGAACCCTGTCGGTGAAGCCTTAACGTCTAGACCAAAGTGCCAATTAAGTGAGGCGCAACGTACAACCTGCACTTCAGGGCTTCCGTGATCTTTTAACAACACTGCTTGTAATTGCTTGTTACCCAATATTTAAAGCTATCAATGTATAAGATAAACCAGAACATAGGAATACTCCAATTGTCCCCAATTTGGTCGGCGGTTTGACTAGGGATTGAGTTTATCTAAAAAAGAAAAAAGGAAAATTTTGACAGCTAAATATGCATAAAATGCTAAAAGTACGTTTTGTAGGAAGCTAATCTTTTTCTTTCTTTTCTGGTTCCAATGAGGCTTCGATCTTTCCGGGATGGACAAAAAAAGAAAGAGTCCCAGAAAAAAATGTAATTAGTGGATTTACTTTCTGCTTTCTTAGTTGCACTTTTTTTAAAGTTTCTAAGTTTAGTAATGTAATGGGTGTACAATCTGTAATATGAAATGGAAAATGAAGGAATAATAAATCAGACTAGGCAGCAGACCAATTACTGCCTAGGATTAGCTTCTCAGAATCAGGGATCAAGGAAATACAATTATGATGATGATGAGGCTTTTGAGAAGTTGAGGAAGGAGATTGAAGCAAACCAGGACAATGCCTTAAGCCTTTGCACTGAGAAGGTTTTACTTGCTCGACAAGCTCACGATATTGTAAGCTTCTTATTGTATTCGGCTTCTCACTGACGTGTTGTATTCCTCAAAGTTTTCTTGTCCCAGTTTTATGGAACTTGACCTTTTGCTGCACTCGTGATTCTTGTAACTATTGCATTCTTTCTTTCTGCTTTTTGTGATTAATCTTTTTGCCAGCAAGAATAATTGAATGCTTTTCTCTTTTTGTTCTTCATAGTGGTTTTATTGAAGGTTATGTCTTCCATAGCATTTTAGCTATGATTGTTTTCATTTGAGTGTAACATGTCGTTGCTGCCAATCTCCCTTCCACTGGAAAATGCTTTTTGGGCAAATTCCTTGTGGTTTATCTTTGACATATTTTGTTATCTGTTATCGAAGCCAATGGTGAAGTTTATTAAGAGGGACCAAGACTTAAGGATGAAGAATCCACTGTGTTAGACTAGGAAATAAAATAAATTTGCATCTTCGATATGAAGTATTGCAGAAAGAAATAGGAAATTGATAAATGAATTAACAGGAATGAAAAATAAAAAGGTTGCTCAAGATATAATGTGAAAGCATAATATAAGAACAATTTCAACTGGTCATAATAACTCATAATTGCACAACAGATTCCTCTCTTGCTTGCCAAATTACTAAATCTTTTGCAGGTTATTCTTATTAACTTCTCTCAGGTATAGGCAATTTGTATGACAATTATCTTTTTCCTTGAACATTAATCTAAAGACAAAATTAATTTTGTTAGAAGTGGACTAATTGTCGGATTAGTCTTCCTCTTTCTTTGGCATAATTAAAGATCAAGTTCTCTTGAAACTAATAATAGCCTCTTGCTGTCACAGTACCTTGTCATTGTAAAATTTGTAATGATTGTACTTGCATCTGTTTCAGTTTTCGTTGCTAAACTTATTAGTTGAATAATTTGATCATTTGTTTACCTATAATTCTTTCTTTCTGATAGTAAGACTGCTCCTAACTTATTCTGGTTTCTTCTTCAGATAGATAGCCACATCAAGCGCTTAGATGAAGATCTTACCAACTTTGCTGAAGATCTTAAGCAAGGTGCAGTAAATGTTTCCGAGCTCTCAAGTCTTAGCATGTGCTCCAATATTTTCTTGGAAGTGATCTTTGGGTTTCATCAAATTTTGATGCGAAAAGTGCTTTATTACAGCAAACTTCGGAGACACGTCACTGTCGGTTTCATCTAGATTTGCTCCCTGCATTTCATCAATATTTGATTTGTGTTCAAAAGTTTGCTGTAATAAAGCACTCTTCATTTGAGCAAAAGTTTTTTCGGGTTCCTCAGAGAGCACCGTGGATTTACCTTCCGTGCTGCTAAACATTGTAAATATAATGTTTGATATCTTCTACACTGGGCACTGGGATTTTTTAGGTAGTGATTGCCCCTTAGAATTTTGATTTTCGTAGCAATACAAGGTTCATTATATCTTTTCTAAACAGTTGAACGCAAGGCTCAACTTCCCTCTTCTTTTTTTCCTGTAGTTCGTCTTTTGACTTTTGGACTTCTGCAGAGGGAAAGCTACCTGCCGATGAACCTCCTATCCTTCCTCCATTACCTTTGGTCCTTAAGACTGAGAAGCGCAAAGGACCGTATGTAACACCTCAATCAAAGAGGCTTGAGTACAGGGACTGGGATTGGGACCGAGAACGTGACAGAGATTACGATCTTATGCCTCCTCCTGGCAGTCATAAGAAAGATTTTGCTTCTCCTGTTGATGTTGAACAACCCATTGATCCAAATGAACCCACCTACTGTGTGTGCCATCAGGTCTCAATTTCCGATAGCTCAATTTGCTTTTATGTGCTCAAGTAGCTGATGTTCAATTATAGATCTACAATTATCATTCATTGTATTATTGTGGACAAATGTTTTGCTAACTTCTGAAATTGTTGATTCTTCAGGTATCCTTTGGAGATATGATTGCTTGCGACAATGAAAATGTAGGTCCCCTTTGTGCAATGGTGATTGTTTGTGACCTTCACTAGATCGCACCATTTCATTTATCTTCTCTACACACCTCTGTCACTAGGGATTATGGTGAATGTGTTGCTATTTGCTAGAACCCAACGCGAGTTAATTGCCTTGTATATTTTAATGCATATCGGCTCATTTTAGAAAATAACTAGCACATCTATTAGCTCGTGACAAGTATTATTGGTGAAATGATTTGAAGGCAAGTAGAGCAGATGGTAAAAAAGAAGATTATCTAATGAAAATTAAGAGACACTGTGGTTTCATGGCAAGATAAATCTTACACCTCAAGTCTTATTCATATTTTGGCTTTTACAGAATCTGCCATGGACTGGCTTAGTTCCGTATCATGTTTACCCAAATTCTAGCCTACTATAGCCTGGAGCATTCCCCATTAGACATTCTTCAAAAGCCTTTTCATTAGCATTGATAATGTACTACATGATACACATATGGTGGGCTTCAAATACTTGCATTATATAGGAAGTTATTACATAGTATACAATTGCAGAACCTTACTAAATTCATAATTTTAACACTGGTTCTGCATAATGCGGGTATTCGTGTTCATGTTATCGGATGAGTCAATTCTTCTTGCTATAACAATTACCTTCCCATTATTGATCTGAGTTTGGGGTTTTCTTGACAGTGCCAAGGAGGTGAATGGTTTCACTACTCATGTGTTGGGCTCACACCGGAGACAAGATTTAAAGGGAAGTGGTACTGTCCAACCTGCAGACAATTACCACATTGATTACAAGTACACCACCTTTTATGTGTGCTGTAATTCCTTCCACATTAATTTTTGAAGGGATCTTTGATAGGTTATGCTCTCCTAGTGTCTGTTTTCATAAAGAAATGTACCTATTCTGTTAATGGTCAAATTTGGTGCCTTAGATATGTGCATAAGGGAGAGACAGAAGAAAGGGTGGTCAGATAAGTTCATCACTCTGTTTGCTTATATCTCATGATCCCTGGTTTTACAGTCAAGGGACGAGTTTGCTTTGTACATGTATCTACCAGAGGAACCAAAATTTCTCAACGCTGCTTGATGAACTCCAAGTGTTGCTATTTGTTTGTGAATGCCTTTTCATTTCTTTTTGGAGTAGCAAACAGGACAGTGATATGGCACATGCTGTTTACACGAGTGTTATCGCTAATAATGGTAAATAATATGTATTTTCATCTTAGTATATCACTTAAATATAGGAATTCCCATGGTTTATTGCACGGAGTACATTTGTCGGGATAAGTTTTGCTCTCTTTTGATCCATCTCATACAGATTCAAAACTGAAGTCAGAAATACAGATTCAATCAAATTTTTACTTGTGCTTGCTGGATTTTGCATTCACAGTAATGAATGCAAATCTAGTATAAATAAATACCTACGTTCACATATATATAATTCAAGTCGAAATTAGTGGTTGTAAATGCACTCACAGTTGAAGTTCTACATCTGTCGCTGCTAGTAAGAAGTGGAACTTTCCAATGCCTTATGAAAGACAGAGACATATATGAAAGCTTAATTGCATATATCAACAAAGAGTTTTAACTAATATACATCATCAGTCCAAAAAAACAAATTCATACTATCAAGTCATTTAGAAGTCAATTACATGTAATTTTTATTTATAGCAAACATGAATTTGTAGTCTGCAAACGTGAAAAATAACATGTTATAGCAGGTAGAAACCATACTACTGGCATAAAATTTATTTATATTGTCGGTGTATATAACTCAAACTCATTAATAAAATGTGATCTCTATGAACATTTTGTGAAAGCCACACCATATATGTATGGTACAATTGATGGGTGTACCCTTGATTAAGAAAGCCGACTCTTTTTCTTGGACCAACCTATGACCAATAAAAATGAGTTCGTCACACCCACGGGGACTAAAGAAGTGGGTGTTGGGCGTCAGCTTTGGAGTGCCAGAAAGGGATCCGGTGGCCAATTTTCAAATTCAATGCTTCATTGATTCATGACGAAGCAATATAACAGAAAAACAAAACACGAGTTCTTTATGAAAGTTGAGACCACCGTTGTCATTTCCTTCTCATAGGTCCCAAAATAAATATATGCTAGTATATTTTATGTGAAAATGTATTCTTTTTGCTAAGTGATCACCGCGTGGTGTAGGGGCTAATTTGGGGTATGCTCATTGTCCTACTCTCTCTACCCTGTCTTTGTATTGTGGTCACAGCCAGACCCCAAAACGTAGCTACACAAATATCAAATACAAGATTTTAGAGTTTCTAAGTTATATTATGATTTTTATACAATTTAACTAGCTATTGTCCTATATTCTTCAGGTAACCATATCATAAAAAATTATTTATTGTTGTAGTTCAACTTAAGGTAATATTATTAAAGTATCTGTACACTGTCAGTGATCATATTTATAAACTGTCCAAATATGAAATATCACATCTACGTAAAAATTGCACGGGGCGGCCAATTTAACCTATACCCACTTTTTAAAAAAGTTTTAATTTGTACCCACTGTTTAAACAACTTCAGGCCTCTTTCTCCTCCTTCGTTTTCTAAATGCTAAAGCTTGAGATATTGTTATGCCTTCTAGCCTGATGATTCATATATATCTGCTTGTCCCATTATATTCAGTTTGGTCTTACTCACAATAATTTAACCTCTTAGATATTTTAGCTTTACAGGCACATTGGTTTTTGGTTCTAATTTATCTGTAGTAACTTGTTTTCATGTCGAAAATATTTTTCATTCTTTAACCTTTGAAATGAGCAGCATCAATCGCTACTAATCATGATTTATTAAATTCATTCATTGTTGTTTAGAACTTAAGCTCTAAGAATGCTGAAGTTTAGCAAATACAAAACAAACTTCAGCCCTAGAATGCTGAAGTTCATCACAAACAGAACAAAGCTTAAGCTAAAACATGCTGAAGTTCAGCAAATACAGAACAAAGCTTCAGCTAAAACATGCTGAAGTTTAGCAAATACAGAACGAAGTTTCAGCTACTAGAATGCTGACATTCAGCTAAAGTTCACCAATTACAAACAAAAACTTCAGCCAAAACATGTTGTAGTTTTATTGAATTGAAGTTTGCCATTTGCACTATGAAATGAAGTTTGCGTGATTGCCTTTGCAAGTCAGGCCAAACTTCATGCAAAAATATCTGAAGTTTTGCTACACTTCAGGCAAAACATTCTGAAGTTCAAACTTCAGACATAAATTTTTGCTACTTCAGGACCGTATGTTTGAAGTTACGCGAAAAGTAGGTATGCTTGCAATTTTTTTTGCAAGGCGGGTATAAGTTAAAAAGTAACCCCAAAAGCGGGTATAGATGCAAATGCCCCCACATCTACTAGGGGTATTATCACTTTTAGCTCGCGTCAAAAACTATTTATATCTGGTAACCGGAAAAATATATAAAACTTATATAATTTTTGTATATAACATACAGAATATATATATATATATATATATATATATATATACAAAAATATATATATAAATTTTATATATTTTTTCAATTTTTAATTTTACAGCGGCTATAATTTTCATCTACTATGCCCACTCCCAAATTCAGCAAGTGATCGTAATAAGTTTTACTTTACACCGACAGAGAAACTTAAACCGGACATGTGGAGACAGAGATCATCTTTAAATATTAAAGCGACTCGTAATATCTTTCTCTTCCCCTCTCTCCACTGTCAATTTCATCTTCTTTTTCACAAATCTGCCATTTGTAATCTTCCGTGCACACATGCAATTGTCTTGTGTCTACCCTCTCTAACCTCTTTTTATGATCGTGGTATTCGGGTCAATTTGCGCACACTTCGACTAATTAATTTTATGAGATATTTATTATTTTTCACCAACGCAAATCTGTCCATCAATACTTTTATATATATATATATATATAAAATCACCTAATATTTTTTGTCTACGTTAAATTATTTGAACCTAAGATCTCATGGCAGTATTAATAAAATATCTTGTATGCGAGCATGTCAATAATAACTTCCATTAAATCAGGTAAAGACCGTGTTTGGTTAACTTTTTCCCACCTAGAAACGTGAGACAAAGGTGGGTAGCTTCGAAGGATTATGTCAAAAGTGTCATGCCATTGAATTAAACTTGTTGATAGTAAGACATAATTAAGGTTAATAATTATCCAAGTATCACGCTACAAATTTATTACTGGGCATACTCAATGCCTCTTCCAACATCTTATGCTCAAAAGATGTCTTAATTAAATTACTTTCTAATGAAGTGAGACAACTTTGTGTTCAAAGACATTACAAAGAATGTTGCTCCTTCCTCTCTTTAAACTCATCAAATTAATGTTTGACTGTTTTTATACGAATTAATGGAGTAAAAGCAGAGGCGTATCCAGGATTTTAATAGCATGGGTGAATCACTATCTTTAGATAAATATATGATTTGACAATATAAATTTTTTTATGATGACCAAAATTGACGAGGAAATTCTAGTTAATATTATTAGCATTATATATGTATATCCTCGACGAATTTTATACTTTAAAAACTATCAATAATAGTATCATTACATATCGTTTTAAATGTCTTATGTTATATATAGCAAGCTAAAAAGTATTAAAAAAAGGATTAGTTACCTCCTATAGCAAAGGTTGATACGTTATTTATTTTAAATAAGATACCCTTTTAAAAAATTATATTCCATAGCTACCTTTTGATTTTTTATAGCCAAATATTTATTTATGGTCACCTCATACCCTTAAGCTATAAAATAAGCTTTGTATTAATTTTCTCTCATATCCCCTCAAATTTCTCCTATCCCTTACCCCATATTTATTCTCCCTCTCTCTCTCTACTTCCCGATGTCTTCTCCTCCGCTGGACGCGGAGCAATTGCCACCGTCACCGTTTCGGCCGTGGCCGTTATTCATTGATACCGCTGCCCTCAGCCTCCCAATCTCATTCTCTGACGCAACATATCGGATCAACAAAAACCTCCGTTATTTCGCCGGTAATTACGTGCTAATCGTTGACAACCGGAGGCAACGGTGACGGCGAGCGAGGACTGGATACTGATGCTGCTTCAACAAGACGACATTAGGGTTGTTCTTGAACAAAGACGACGGAGTTGGGGGCTGAGCAACTTGAATTTTCTGTTAATATATTTCAATGTATCTCGCTGTATTTCATTGTATTCATTGTCTTTTTTTCCATTGTATTTCAATGTATCTCGTTGTATTCTATGTATTTTATTTTATTCATTGTCTTTTTTTTCATTGTATTTCAATGTATCCCGCTGTATTTTATGTATTTCATTGTATTCACTGTCTCGCTATATTCTATGAATGTATTCATATGTTTTTTTTAATTAATATAATTTATGCGTTTAGATGTATTATATAATTTCTCTGAAGATTGCTATATTTTTGGGATGTTTTTCGGTTGACAATCTTTTTTATAACTAGAAATATAATATTTGTGTGTTATAATTGAGTTTGTTGAGTTATATTAGGAGTCTATTATGTTAATTGATTCACTTTCTGTTTAAAAACAGTGTAATCCCTTGTTTCACACCATGAATACAGTCGAATACAGTCGAATACAATAATTTGTCCAGCTGCAATCCCATGTTTCACGCCATGAATACAGTCGAATACACTCGAATACAAAAATCTGTCTAGCTGTAATCCCATGTTTCACGCCTAGAAATGCTACTGTATTCATGAATACAGTAGCTTAAATACATCGAATACACTCTAAAAAATCTGAAAACATAGCTATAGGAAGTAATATAGTAAATGGTAGCTACAACTAGCTAATAACCACTAAAACATAGTGATTTCTGAAAGTTTCTCTTAAAAAAATTCTTCACCCATCCTATTATGTGATCTTTTTATATACTTCTATTTCTATGTAGATATGTGATTTGCATTATTAGTTTTTTTTTATTATAATAGGAGTTTAAGATTAATTTTATTATTATTTTTGGTTCTTCATTTCTTGACAAAATATAAATTCTTTTGAGAAAATTTTGAAGTTCTCTTTTTAATCGAACACTTACAACCTTCTATTATCAGTGATAATCTTCGAAAGAAAAATATGGGGATCACAATATCACATTTTATGAAATATTTTAATGAAAGTTTTCTTTTTAAAGAACTTACAAGTCCGAGTAACTAGCTAGATAGATCTGCCATTGGGGC